CAAATGGGTGTCTTCGTTGGTAGCGGTCCCAAGTGATCTGCCGCTACCCCCTGCTGGAAAACAAATGCCGAAAAACGATGAGAGAACAATCCATCTGGATCCCTGTGACTACAAGGGTTACACACACACACTCACTCACTCTCACACTCACTCACTCACTCACTCACTCTCACTCTCACTCTTCACTCTTCACTCTTCACTCTCACTCTTCACTCTTCACTCTTCACTCTTCACTCTCACTCTCACTCTCACTCTCACTCCACTCACTCACTTACTCCACTCACTCGCTCCACTCACTCGCTCCACTCACTCTCCACTCACTCGCTCCTCCACTCACTCCACTCCACCCCACCCCACCCCACCCCACCCCGCCCCCACCCACCCCCACTCCACTCCACACTCCACACTCCACACTCCACTCCACTCACTCACTCGCTCACTCGCTCACTTTCTCTCACTCTCACTCACGCTCACGCTCTCACTCACTCTCACTCACTCCCTCACTCGCTCCGTCGCTCGCCCGCCCACTCACTCACTCACTCACTCCATCACTCCACTCACTCCATCACTCCACTCACTCCATCACTCCACTCACTCCACTTACTCCACACTCACTCACTCACTCACTCCGCCAAATCTGCCCAGGAAACGAAGCCGTTGCCACACAACTCACACATGCGCGGCGCTGATAGCACGTGCAGCACGGGTAAAGCATCTCTTGCCGCGGCTGTTGCGGCATCGTAACTAGGGGAAGCCACCCCAGACAATGCGCATGGAATCTTGCTTGAAATGCGGTAGTTCTGGATAAGTATTCAAACGAACACATTCGATGTATTTGCCAACCGGAACTTTCAACAGAGTCCGAGGTTCTGTGAGCACCTCTGGAATCCTGTTCTGCTTGCTACCTCGTCGTCGCAAGATCGCAAACCAACCCATCCAAACCATGAAGGCGCCGTGGGAGACCGTGGTGCACAGATCTCTCAAGTCATGTTCTCCGAAAAAGGTACCCATGTCTGACACCAAATCTTCCAGATGAAGGCGCTTTTTCACGCCCCACGCGCTGTCAAACCAAGCTAGCTGATCATCCTGCATTGAAGTCTTACTTTTCTCCAAGGCATCCACGGGCAGGAAAGCTAGTGATTCTGTCACTAGCCTGCGCCTGCCCGCGATTCCCGCGCAGCGTCGCCGCCAAAGGATTATCCAACAAAGGAGGCGAGTACGCAAGTCTTCAACAAGAATACCAGTCTCCAAACATGTCGAAAGTCACGGCCAAAAGGCGTGACTGAGCGCAACTCTTCACTCTTCAACGTCACAGCGAACGCCTCCAACGTCTGAGGAGTTGAAAAATCTAGGCCAGCGTAGCCTGCGCAACACTACATCGAAGGTGAGCTGAGCGCGCAGGCGTTCCAACGCAGCACACTCCAGCTCCCAGAGCGTCAGTCAAATTGCAGGCCATGTCTGCGTCTTAGCTTGCAGACAACGCGCTGCAGCCATGGCGTCTTCTCTTTGATTGACACGCGGTCACTGCTATGCAATTTCTGACTGACGAGTGCAAGTTCCGGTGGAACCCCCGCAGCAGCTGGTCGCTTTCTGGACGTCCGCAAGCGTGGAACAGGTTTGCTCTCCTGCACAGCTCTGCACGCATCGGCTAATGTCCGTGGATCCACCGGAGCTTTCCCAACTTCCACTGGCGGATCCACTCTGGGCATCAACGCTGTCTGTGTATCCACTAGACCAGTTCCGCCTAGCGCAGGCGGAGCCGTGCTGGAACTCGACGTAGACATTGCTCTGGGCATCAACGCTGTCTGTGTACACTAGACCAGTTGCACCTAGCACAGGCGGGGCCGCGCTGGAACTCGACGCAGACATTGCCACTTTACAGGCTGGAACGCGGTGCAGACATTGCATGTCCCACAGGCGGAGCCGCGCTGGAGCTCGATGCGGACTTTGCATCTCCCACAAGCAGAACCGCGTCAGAGCTGGACGCTGTCTGGCTGACACTCGACTCTTTCAAAAACCTGATCAGCGCACCACGCAGTTCCGCCCGCACGGTCTCTACGGTTTTTCTTGACTTCCACCTACCACGCAGAACAGTTTGAAAGCAGCCCGGTCATCGCGACTTCAAAAGCTCCACCACGCGCTCTGCATCCTCTGCAGCGACCAAGGCTTCGTAGTCAGCAAAGTCGACGCGAACCGCTTCGACGGCGTGGACTGACAGATGTGAGAGAGTCACGGGAGACAGGAGACGAAGGAGCATCTTGTGGCACTCCCCTTGGGGAGCTACTCCTCCACCAACACCTCCTTTCCATCACGTTTCCGCTGAATGCCCCACTCCGCGCACGTGCTATGGAGTTTGGCCCTATCACCAGCCAAACAGCCCAGCTGTGCACCGAAGAGACCACACGCGCTGGCAAAATCAAGTCGGGTAGGTAGCAGAAACGCGCGTTGCCCGCATCTGGATGTCCAGCTAGCAAAATGCCAACCGTAACGACGGCCATGGCCACGCAAGAACGAAAACCGAAGCCCAAAGATCGGATCACAATGTGACTCTTGATGCGCGGGCTGCAAGACATGTGGAAGATGAGTGTTTGCTGTTACGCTGTCAAGTTCAAACTTGTAAACAAGCAAAAGACGGCAAATGAAAACCACAGCAAAGCGACCGAAAAAAGTTCAGAAACAAGCAAAAGATTGCAAATGAAAAACACAGCAAGCGCGACGGAAAAGTTTAGAAACCAAGGTTTGCCAAAAGTACCTGGGTGTTGCGCCTGCAACGAAAAAAGCATAGACAAGCATAGACAGAGGTCAGATCTGCAAGCTAGACGATCACACGTCTGAGAACACAGTCACCAGAGCACGCAGCAAGTGAGCGAATCAGTGAGAGAGTGAGAATGAGTGAGATTGTGACAGTGAATGCGAGCATGAGTGAAAGGAAGACGCTTGTGAATGAGAGTAAGTGTGGGCGTTGTGATTGCGAATGAGAGAGCAGAAGATCAAGCAAAGCACGCATCTGAGAACACAGTCACCAGAGCACACATCAAGGTAGTGAATGCACCTTGCCCACAGTGGAGCGTGCCAGACAGAGATCCAGAGAACACACATCTGAGAGCACAGTCACCTCAAGTGAGCGAATTCACACAGTGCTCCACCTGTCACGTACTCTGCGCGTCGAGGTTCACAAAGCGCTGGACCTTAAAGCGCTATGCCTGCTACGAAATCTGCGCTTCGAAGTTCACCAAGCGCTATGCCTGCCACGAAATCTGCACTTCAAGGTTCTCGTTGGGCTATGTTTACGACGTTCAAGTCCCTATCTCGCAGACACGTCCTTTAGATAGTGACTTCTAGAACTATGTTAGGCAATCTCTTTACTTTATTCCAGTCCCTTTTGAGCCCTCGTTGGGCCATGTTTTGCGTTCAAGTCCCTATCTCGCAGACACGTCCGTTAGATAGTGACTTCTAGGGCTATGTTAGGCAATATGGAAGCTATGTTGAGCCACGTTAGGGGAGCCTATGTCCGGCCTCAGTCCAATTACACTTTACCGCTCAGATGATTCAAATCATGCAAAGGAAGAAAGTTGCATTTCTTGCATCACCAGGGGCTTCAAAATAGCATGAATTCATCTTCCAGCATTTTAAGCCGGTTCCAAAAACGTGAAAAACACATGATTCTAGAGCGAAAATGCCCCCCCTGCTAAAGCTATTGGCTTGCATATGCTAGCTTACGTTTGGCGCGTGCCCTAAAAAAACGCCTCGGCGCCTTCGGCGCGGGCGGATTTCGTGGCAGGGTGAACTTCAAAGTGCAGCTGTCGTGGCAGGTCCAGCACTTGGTGAACCTCGAAGTGCAGATTTCGTGGCAGGCATAGCGCTTGGTGAACCTCGAAGTGCGAAGTGAAGATTTCGTGGCAGGCGCAGCGCTGTGTGACAGATTTCGTGGCAGGTGCAGCACTTGGCGGGCTCAAAAGGGACTGGAATAAAGCCCCCCCCCCACGTGACCGAACATAGCTTCCATATTGCCTAACATAGCTATAGAAGTCACTATCTAAAGGACATGTCCGCGAGATAGGGACTTGAATGTCCGGATATTTGGCTCCACAGGAGCAGAGATAAGCAGAGATCAGGTCCAGGAACGGTAACATTTTCTCACGAGCATAGCTTCCATGTGACCCGTTCCTGGAGCATGACTGCAGTCTTTGAGCCCTCCCATGCGGTGCGGGCGGTTACCGTCGCGAAGCGACGTGAATATGCACTGCGAGGTTCACAAAGCGCTGGACCTGTTCACAAAGTGCTGCACCTCCCACGAAAGCTGCACAGTGAGGGTGACAGAGCTGTGCCTGCCACGAAATCTGCAAACGAGCCACATGTCCAAAAGTCACGTCTTAGTGCACCTGTCACCAAATCTGAGCTCCTCAACGATCAGCGCCAGGTCCAAAGCGCTGCACCTGCCACGAAAACTGCAATCGAAGTAAAACAACTCCGGTTCCTTGCCCTGTCACGAAAAGTCGACTTTGGAGCGCCAAAACACGAGGCTTCCCTTGCGCCTGCCACGAAAAGTGGCCACCATGTACCAAAATGCACACGGCGTCACAACGAGAGCGCAGTCGCTAGAAGCGCCCGCCGCGGCCACCCGGACTTTGCGAGCCTGCGCAGTCGAAATGCACATGGACGATGTCGAGAGGCATGAATGTACTGTAAATAGCAACGAATTAGCACGACACGCCCGCGCGGCACACCTATCTAAGCACACCTGCTTTTCCACTACCGTAAGAACACCTTGTGCGTCCACAGTGCTTGGTGAAAAAACAGATTTCATGATTTTGATAATCACCAGATCAATTTACGAAGAGGTCTGAAAAAGTACACGCTTGCAGTCCCCCACACCGTTTCCTCTGAGAATTGCTCATTGCATGTTTCCCTTGCCTGATGAGTGATGTTGTGGTCGCAGTTCCAAAAGCAATGTGTTGCAAAAACTTGCAGATAGGTCCGATGTATTGGTGAGCTCTGAGGTGTTGGCGGCATTCCTCGGCGAGGCACGCCCCAGTCTGCTGAGTCTGCTGAATGCGCTGTTTGTTCCCACGCTCACCTATAGGCACCTTCTGCTGCCGCCCTGCGGCGGCCTAGCTCTAGTTTGTCCCTCAGAAGTGTGAGGGCGCCCGCATGCTGTCTAATTAATGTGGACCCCTTTGCTTTTACGCAGTTCCCGGCACATCCTGAATACGACAACATAGCTTTGCTGTGTAAGAACCATGCAACGAAAAACATGTTGCAGTTTCATGACTGCACCTTGTGCATGGTGGAGCGCCTGTCAAAACCATGGATGTTTGATTGCAAGAAAAGAGAGCATCCTTAAAATTGGGTGGCAATCATGCGTGACTACCTTTGCTTGCTCTGATTCTGGCTGGAATCATGACAAGGAAGCAATGGTTTTCTTCTTTTGGTGTTGAAAACAGTTGTCTAAACTTTGTCGGGGCCGATTTCTAGAAGGGGCGAAAGGTGCAAAGTGCTTGAATGACGATCATGCATTGGTGCAAACTGGTTGTTGCGCAGGCTGCCCTAAGAGCGGCGCTGGAAAGGTCAAAACGTTTAAAAATATCATGACTGCCTAGCCCAAGGTTCTAAAACCACAATAATCAATTACACAAAACATCACAAACCAAGTTAAGTTTATATTTATGTTTATGTAATCAATTTCCAAGAGGATGGTTTGATGATATATTGGGTTGTGGCAGCGCAAGAAAACACGTAAAATGTGTTGCAATTAAACGGACTCTAAAGAGGCTGTGACGCAACGCACAATTTCAATGGTGCAGGCAGCAGGCCAAAAGAATTGATTGAACGGCCCGTTGAAAGGCGAATAGATGTGTCCAGTGAGGTGCGCCAAGCCAGAGGCACTATGCTCGTGGATCCGGTGAGGCTTTGAGCAGCCCGAAGTGCAAGCGGCACGCTCATGGAATTTGTGCATGATGGGCAGCCACACATTCTAGCAAATCCCAACATTTGTTTAGCGCCGTGCAATTGCTGGGGGCTTGCAGGATTCCTCTCCCGACACGCCTGGCCTACCACAACAAGACGGTGGCTTTGATGAATGTGCCGAGTACAATGGGGCCTTGGCCTCATTGGTTGCTCTTGCTGTCAGTTTCAATCTTGAGCCAGCTTGAAGAACTAGAAAATTGCGTAAGGAACTAAGGAACTTTACATTTTGCACATTGTTCCATGGAGAACATATTTAGGATAGCCCTTGCCCGTCTCCCACAACCCCCCCAAAATCTCAACCAACCAACAAAGTAAACTCCAACAACCAGCAAACAACCATAAACAATAGCAACCATCGCAAGAATTATTTAACGAACCACTCAAGAAGATTGTTGAACAATTAACACCAAGAACTCAATCAGCCAACAAACCAAACCATATAGAATGGGCTAACGCCGGGTGCCGCCAAGACAAAGACACCTGCAAAGGAAATACACAGAAATCAAAGGAAAATCACAGGGAATGAACAGGCAAGGAAAAGGAATCCAAAGCACATCAAAAGGAATCAAAAAGAGATTAAGAGGGATGACAATCAAAGGCACCGAGGGCTAGCCCACAGCCAAAGACACTGGGTAGACTCAGGCCACGGTTCCACCCTTTAATATCGCTTTCAGAAGACTGCTTAGAAACCCAATGCGCGCTGCGCCCACCCTTTGGCACGGCAGGGGGCGACCGCTGACTGACACTGTCTAACGTTGCCTTTGGAACCCCAGACTATGGCAACAGGCCATGGGCTGTTTTTTGGAGCTACCTGGGGCTTGTCCTGGGCTGTTAGAGTGTCAGCGGTCGCTCCCTGCCGCGTGGCCCTGGAATCGCATAGAAAGAGTAGTCCAGGACGAGTCCCCCCAGGTAGCTCCGAAGTGCAGCCCATGGCCTGACGCCAAAACCTCAGTCTCACCTCGCCCTGGAAACGTTGCCTTTGGAGCCCAATAACGAGGCCACGCCAAAACCTCAGTCATGCCACGCCGGCACACCCTGGCCTAACCTTCCACTCCTCCGTGCTTTCCTATTGTCCTTCTTCTCGCGTCTTGAGCTCTGACCTCCAACTGCTTGTAAGTTCTTTCCAAAACATTGTCTGTGTGCGTATAACATGTGCGTATAACATGATGTGAATGTCACATGTCTGATCCAAGCACATGTCTTGTGGGGCCATGAGGCTCGAGTGTGTTGAACCGCTGGAAGCGGCAGGGACTTTACTCGACGCGAGAGTCGAAACGGGGCGCGCGCCATTTGCCGTTGAAGGTCGACCAGTACCTTTAAATTGGTAGCGGAGCCCGAAAGGGCTGGCGGGGGGACAGATGACATTGGAGGATGGCCTTACCAAAAGGTTTGATGGAGACGGATCCAACCCATCCAAAGTGGAGCCGGGCCTATCTGACCGTACAAAAGGCCAAAGCGATTCCGAAGGAAGCTCATGGCAGTCTGATCTTTGCTTTGCTGGACGGTACTGCCCTCAGGACCCTGGATGCCACCCCAATGGAGCGCATTGAAGAAGATGGTGGAGAAGAAGTGATATTCCAGGTCCTGGACGAGCGATTAACTCGGGCCGAAATCAAGCAAACCAAATGAGCCCGAGGCTTTGGGGCGCTGCGAGCGTGACAGCTGGCAAGGACTTCAAGGAAAGCCGGGTGAGGTGCTTTCAATGTAAGCAAGTGGGACGCTTCAGTCGGAACTGCCCCAAGAAAGGGAAAGGAGGTGGCAAGTCATTCAAGGACTCAACATCATCGCATTCGACGAAGGTGAACTTCGTGTTGATGACCTAGTCGAACGACTACTTTGAACCAGAGCGTGACTCGACTCCCAATCAATTTGGAGTGCTGGAGAACACACATTTCGACAACCACAAAGAGGAGATGATGGCGGCAGTGGCTGGGCGGGAACATGTTCGACGTGACTATACTGGCATGTCCAAGGCAGTCAAGTACGTCGTCCCACGAAGGCAGCTGTTCTCGCCAGCGCCATCTGGATGTCCAGTGGCTCTGAGTGATCTTTGTGAGGCCAGGACGACACGGGTGATCAAGAGCGATGGAGAGAGCAAGTGATGTTCACTCCGAGTTGGAAGCATCGTGGAGAAGCTCACAGGGAGCTGTACTACTGGTCCGGGCAGTCCGGAGACGAGCCTCCCAGATGGTGAACTTACCGCTCTGGTCGAGGAATAGAAAGACGAGCCCGAAAAGGCGCAAGAAGAAGGTCTGGTTGGAGAAGAGACTCTCAGACGGCATGAGGAGCTATTGGCCCATGCCCTCGAGATCAAGGACGTGGAGCACAGGTCTCACAACTTTCGCTATGGCAATGGGGTCAATCAGGACGGTGCAGATTCCGATCTTCTTGGCGTTGAATTGTGGCTGCGCATGGGCGTTGGGAGCGGTTACATGAAGGTCTCGGGGAGAGTTGATGCTGCAGAACGCCCAGATCACGGCCCCGTTAGTGGAACAACGGCTACCAGATCAACCTGCTGGACGAAGAAGAAGAAGAAGAACGACCTTTTGAAGTTGATCCAAACTGGTCGCCCACGACTGAAGAGGCAGGCGAGGTTGACATCGACGAGGGCGCCACGTCAACAACCAGGATGACCTGGAAGAAACGATGGGCGACGCTGAGAATGATAAGAATGAACTGGCGGAGGAAGAGCCGTCCGAGGAGCAGTGTTCACTGCCGAAGAGAGAGCAGTCTTGCGGTGAGATCTTTTGCCCGGGGCGCTTTGGAGAGAAGGCGCACATGTTTGGCGTTCGAGGTTGCAAAGCTTTCGATCTATCCACGGGCTGGGCCTGGAAACGAGCTGCTGATCGAGCTGAAGTATGGAAGTACCTGCCCCGTAAGTCAGGCGGATGTTCAAACGGAAACTCCACAGTTGCCCACAGGCTCACAGGAACGAACGCGGTGAGAAAGATGCATGTCAACTTGGGTCGCGCATCAATGGAGGACATGATTAGGATCTTCCGACACCATGGCGACACCATGGTGCCCGGCCAGAGGTTCTGGAGGTCGTTAAGAGCTTCCAATGTGACCCGTGTGACGCCAGGCGACAGCCAAAGGCAGTGAAGGACAGCGCAGCGCCTACGGACTTAGCACCTTTGAGTCCTTTGAGATACATTGGTTTGGATGTCAAGTGGCTCCCAACATGGAAGAAGGATATGCAATCAAGGCATTAAACATTGCGCGCCGGGCGTCGGGCTTTCAACAAATGTTTCCTTTTCGTGAGACAGAGACTTCCGACCCCTTAGTACGGCTGTACAGGATGTGGACCAGGGCTTTCGGTAGACCCTGATATATGAAGTTTGACGCAAGTCGATGCAACCTGGGACAACCCTTTTTGGATGCTCTAGAGAGGGATGGTACAAATGCATCGGATATCCGGCAATTAGGGGATGTGGAAGCCCAAGGGAGACATTTTGCTTCCATGCTGACAAAGGTTATAGATCAGATGCAACCTGACGATTACACACAATGGCTTGAATGCGTTGACAGTACAACAGAGGCCAAGAACCAGTTGATGCGTAGAGGAGGATAATACAGCCCCAACCAGTTGGTTTTCGGAAGAGACCCAGAGTATCCAGGCGATGGTCTGTTGGAGGAGTCCCCAAATCCGATTTCAGACGGAGCAATACTTGAAGATGCCATCGTTCCCTTTCCTTCCGGTCTCGACAGAAAGCTCGAGAAGCCGCGCTACAGTCGCTATAGACCATCGAGCGGCCAGGATTGCTCTGAACGCCAGACCACGGCCAAAGAGGGAGTTTAGGGCAGGTGATGAGGTAGCAGTATGGAGACGAGGTAGAGGCATCAAGAATGGCGATGTAGTTGCCGGCGAGGTTAGGGGGAACTATTGGGTGTCAATGCCCGGTTCGTTTGTGAAGTGTTCACCTTTAACTGCGATTGCGGACGACGTCAGAGCGAGAAGCTGATCGATTTTTGGTCAGAGACATCTGTGCCGCAGCAGCCCAGTTATTCCCTGAAGTTGGCGTTTCCAAGAACGCCCAGAAAATTTTCATTGACATCACAAAAGATGATTTTCCACCCGGTGACCTATTCCCAGAGCAACAACAGATGTCAGGGGCGCAGCAGTAGCATGGTCCAATGGACGCAGTTGATCAGCCAGAACAGGCAGGACAATCTGCCAGTCAGAAATCCACCAGTGACAATGTCTCATCATCGCTTAGCGACCAGTTGGACCAGTTGTCTCGAGAGGAACTGACAGCCTGGCGAGAATCAGCTGAACAAGCCAACCGCCTCGACGGACACATCCGGCCAAGAGGCTCTGAACCAGAGCCGAAGAGACTTCGACAAGAGCAGAGGATAGGAGGACAAAGTGTTTCCCCAATCTCTCCCCCAAAATCCACCGGCCAGATCACCATTGCAGTTTCCGATACCGGTATCCAGTGACAGCACATCCTCACCTACCGCCTCCTCATCAAGTTCGATATCGTCACATAGTTTGGTAGTTGAACGATTGATTTAGGAGCCATTTGATGTGGCACTTACTGAATATGGGGTGGACGACCGGGAATGGGTCTTACCTCAGGAGGAGGATCGTGAAGGTGCAGAGGAAGGTCATAGCCGGAGGGAGGGAAGAGCTAAATCTCAAGGACTCAGGGGAACCTTCGAAGGGAGAGAGAAACTGATAGCAGACGTCAGAAAGGAAGAGCAAAACTGCATGACCGACAAGCAAGCCCTTCGACCTTGTTCACTGGAGGAGTCTCGCAGGATCAGGCTGAGAGGATCGTGCCCAGCCGTCTTGTTTTGACGCCAAAGACGGACGACTCTGGAGAGGAAATAGTGAAGGCAAGATGGATTGCACGAGGAGACAAGGACCCAGATCTTTTTGCACTGGTCCGAGGTGGCAAAACCCAATCACCCACCGTATCGTCCAATGGCAGATTTACAGTGTTGCAGACCATAGCAAGTTGTCAGTTTACACTACAAGTGGGTCAGTGGAAACAAAGGAGTTGAAACGAGATCAACGCCTGTGGATGTCATGTCCCAAGAACTCTCCTCTTCCAGATCATGATCCTGATCAACTGTTTGAAGTGAGTTTGTCATGGACACCATCCAAGCTGGATCTGTGTGCGTACGTGTCGTGGGATTCAAAACTGGGAAATGGCATTCCCAGTCTAGTTGGAATCATGGGGGTACACGTCGACGATGTCTTGCTGGGTGGACGAGGGGAACTGTTTTAGAAGTCGATCGCAACACTGAAGACTAAGTTTCCTTTTCGCAAGTGGATGACTCAAAGGAACTTTCTGTGGATCAGACCTACAACAATGTCCAAAGACGGGTGCAATTGATGTTAGCCAAGAAGGGTTTGCAGACAAAATGGGAAAGCCGAAACTCAGGACAAGAGATCCTCCACACTTGACAATCAATGCAGAGGAGACATCATCAACGAAATCGGTGTTGGGCGCAAGTCTTTGGCTAGCAAAGGAAACAAGGCCAGATTTAGCAGCGCAGGTGAGCCAGGGACAACAGCTGCTGCCCTCTCCTACAATTGCAAACATCACAAGGCGAGCAAAACAACACAACAGTCTGGTTTGGAAAGTCCTTCCTATTCCGATAGCGAACATCAGGCTTTGTTTACATACAGATGCCTTCGCCAATGCCAAGAAGCAAGGAACACAAGCAGGCTACATTGTTGGAATAACAACACCGGAACTCAAGGAAGCCAAACCTGCAAATCATACCGTCTGAAACGAGTGGTTGGTTCCACGTTTTGGCTGATGGACTAGGACACACGGAATGGTTAGCCTGTCGCCTGGCCGAGGTCAAGCGTTTCAAGTTTTCTGTGGCAGAACGATCCCAGTATCTCAAAGACTTTGGCATACAAGCAATCACGGACTGCAAGAGCATCTACGACCACCTACAAGCATATGCATCCCCTGGTAGCGTTGGAGACAAGGGTCAAGAGGGTGGCTACTGACCTGGTGATTGCGAAAGAATCTCTACGAAGGATTTGGGGTTCGATTAGGCGGGCGCCAACATGGTTGCAGCTAGCTGATGCTTTAACCAAGGAAAATGCTCATGTGATGGACATTTTGAGGGGCGCCATGAAGTCAACAGTTTATCGTTTAAATAATGAGAGTGTCATGCTCCAAAAGGAAAGAATGTCAATGCTGAGAGTCTTGGCTCAGAGGCACTCCGTTTTCATCGTTTTTCCTTTGTTCGGTCCTCTTCCTGGAAGATTAGAGCTAATGCAAGAGAACATGTCATACAAACGTCACTATGCCTTTACCCTTTGCAAAAGTCGTGTGTCACGGACGGTTGTGGACTCTCTTGCTCGATGTATGGGTTTGGGGTCTGATGATTTAGGACTTACAGTAGGACGTTTGCCTGTTTCAAAAACCAATGCGCGAGCCACACAAAGCCGCTGAAATGGAATGCATAACTTAGGCTTCAAGCGCCGACACGACAGGAGTGCAGTGAGTACGGTGTTTTGATGCATACAAAGAAACAGGTGGTTCAAAAGTGATGACCTGGGCTGTGAGTTTCTGTAGAACCAACCCTTTTCTCCATTGTGGGTTGCAGGATGGTGCAAAGGATGCTGCTTTGCCAGCAACGTTGGCAGAACAGGAGGAAATTGCTGCTCTCTGCAGGTAAGCGTGCATTTTCTGCTTCGGTGAAGATGATTAGGTGCACAGCGCACAGATCACGGTGAAGGTCTCAACTCAAGGACGCCAAGAGGTGGAGACCCGAGCTTTGTTTGAGGCCATGGTGGAACGCCATGCCAAGACGGAGGACGAGTACCAGAAGATGTTGACTCAGACGAGGGCAAGCTGCAAAGCAAAGATTCCGTTGAGTATGATGAATTCGAAGGCCGTTCGAGGGGAGAACGGCTTAGTCACTTTCACCTACACAAAGAATACTCAGACGGTGGCCATTCACGCAGGAGCAGCTCACTTGGATGTGGTGGAAGACACTTTTCAAGATGCGCTGGACAAGTTCAAGATGATGATGCAGAAGCAGGAGATTGCGCCGATGGTGGAAGGCGCCGGAGAATGGTCAGAAGCCTTCCGGAAGATTTTGCTGGAAGGAGCGATGTCCCAGTACATGGACAGCGAGACCGTGAAGGTTAAAGTCAAGTCAGAAGAGACGGGCCTAATTGAGACGACTCAAGCTTTGACCCCGCAAGACGAAGAGTTCACAGCTGCGATTGCCGAACTATGCCACGAAGGATCGAGGAAGCTCTACCAGTATCCAGCTTGGCGAAACAAGTTCTTGCAGGTCATGCGCAAGGAATTCGGCGCAGACCCGACGTTGGTCATGGAGCTCAGTGGGCTGACCGAATACTTAAACATGAATGACGGTGAAGAGGATTGGACGGTTGTTGTGGCTCCTGCAAAAGCAGGGGAGCCATGCGCAAAACCGAAACCTCTTGGACATCGGTCAGGGTACCCACGATCGCCATGAGAATTTTGAGCCGGCTTGGATCAGTAAAGATTTTGGATGAATGTGAATGTCACATGTTTGATCCAAGCACATGTTTTTTGGGTCCATGAGGCTCGAGTGTGTTGAACCGCTGGAAGCGGCAGGGACCAATACCTTTAAACATGGTGTATATATATATATACACCACGTATTGCAATGTTAAGCAAGAGTGTCGAAGTACTTACCCTCCAAAGCGTCTTTGGAATGTTTCTGTTTGCGCTAGGTGCGCGTTTCATTTAAAGGGCTGGATGGTAAAAAAGAGGTGTCCAAGCATGGCCAAGTTTGGCTTAAGGCTCAACCGTTTGCAACAACGACTTTCTTTGGACATAGGGGCTTTGGCTGGGAAACATTTGAGAATTGGGAGCAAAGACGAGCTTACTTAATGCTGAGGCCACCTCAGCTGAGACGGATTTGTTGGGTTGTGGGCCGTTGGCTCATGCAAAGCGGCTGGAGCCTAAGCTGTAAGATGGATGCCATGAATGCCTTGTTGGGTTGCTTGGGCTCAGGGCAGCTAAAACTGCGCGAGCAGCAAAACCTCCGAAGAATGCTGCAGAGTTCAAGGTGTTTTTTTTCATTTCAGTTTCATGTGTTTCTTGCCCCTCTGTTTTTCCTGCCTGGAAAGGGATCTGGCTTTGCTGGATACGCTCAGGAGCGCTGTGCACTTTGACCCATTTTGGAGGGAACATGCGGCATTTATCCACAATTGAACATGCCATGGAAGGTTCCTAGCAAGCCATGCGGCGGCAAACCTCCGGAAATCGAGGCATTTGATGAAAGAAATTTATGCCGTGGTTAGGTAGCCACATGTTTACAAATGTAAGAGATTGCTGCATTGTGGTTGCATGTTCCGCGTTTGAAGGATTTCAGCAAGACTTCAACTCCAATGCCGGAGGGTGTGGCCAAGATGTTTGGAGAGGCCATGTTTCTTCAAGTGTTTCTAAACAATTTGCAAAGTAGTTGCTGGTTCTCGGAACGAATAGCTCGCAAATGTTTGCTGCACATGGGTTGTTTGATGAGAGCAGGATGGCAAGGATAGCCCCACAGATCGCGGAGCTGAACGAAGCCAAGTGTGTGGCCCTCGAACACAAGTGAATTCAAGCAACTAAAACAGGTTCTTTCGGGTATGCTTGCCTGCTGGAAAAACATGATTGTTAAGTTGGGAAGTTCTATTGAGGTCTGTCAACAAAGCCCGACCACGTCGGGCGCTTTCTGAATTGAACCTTGTTTTGAGACTCGCGTATCATCAGACCTCCAGCAAAGCAATACTTTGGTTGTGCCTCTTTCGCGGCTGCGCTCGGCACGCTGCGCCACCGCACACATTTTCGGACTTGGTGGTCAGTGTTTGCGGCAGGTGCTGTCCAATGAGCGCGTAGTATTTCTGTGGTTTCAATTAGTGCGGCAGTATGGGACATTCTTGCCCAAATTGATTTACAGCAAGGAAAAACAACAAATCCATATGAACTCAGAGGAAGCACAACTGCAAGTACCTCCAAAAAGAAATCTTCAGCAACAAGCTGCGAATATGCGAGCAGCTGTCCGACACTTAAGACATTCAAGTGCAAGCAAACTAAACGGTGCTCAAGGTATCAAAGAACACGCGCATCCTCACTTGTTCTCTCGGAGTTTGGTAGGTGTTCCATCTCGACCACAAGGTCCGTTTTCAAACTTGAGAAAAGTCTTGCGAGAAAGCTTCATTTTTGCATCTGGAAGTTGCCTTTGGTGACACGACACTCGGGTGGTGTCGCATGTTTTTGTTTTGGCGTGGTCTGGGAGAATGGGGCCTGGGGGGGGAGAGGGTGTTTAAAACTGTTTGTTTTCAGTTGTTCTATTTGGCTGTTATTTTGGTCCCTCACATTAACTGTTTTGCAACGGCGTACCCAGCTTGTGACCTAGCTTTGTAGCAGGCCAGCCCTTATTTGCAATGTGCCGCGCAAACAAGGTACATAAGCAAAGCATGGCCTCCAAACAGAAGAGGCAGCGGGCAAACTAGAAGGGGGCAGAAGAGTATCATCGCCACACATAATAGATATATATATATATATAATGTATATATTTTGTATATTCCGAAACAATATTATAATAGAAGATAATTGACAAATATTTCAAATAGAAGATGCACAGCAAAAAGATCCAAGCAAGCGTGGCAAGCCGTGTCAAAAGCATTTTTTCGCTATTTTTGCTTGTTCAATTGTATAATCCCTTTCGTCCTGAAGCACGCAAAGCAACGTGTTGTGCAAACCCCAAAACTGCAAGGATCTGCAAGGGATTTGGAAAGCCTTCCAAAAAACTTGGCCAAGGTCTTGTTGTTCATCATCAAGGGTGGCAAATGATGGCAAATGAGTGTCTCTATAGTTACTGTATCATCGCAGCGGGAAAATTTCTAGGCTATGACTACACAGCCTATTTGCCGCTAGTGGTTTTGGCCTTTGGCCAGCTGCCTATCTGATCCTTGACCTCCACTTCCATCACCATGAAAAACGACCATGTAATGACCATGAGGACTATTTTTAGGTGGAAGTCGAGCAAAAACGGCGGAGCGACAAACGGGAACCCTGGCCACGAACCCTGCCTATTTTAGAGAAGAAAGTTGTCCAGTGCGCCGCCCCTCTTGGCACAAAGGAGGTGGAGGGCATCCGTTTGCGATGACATTTGATGTGCGTTGAGAAGCTCGCCTTTGTCACAAACAAGATGAGGCTCTGGCTCCCGTGGCGGTGCCCTCTGCCAGAGTGCCAGCATGCGCATCAAGCTCGGCAGAGCTGTTGGATCTTTGCAAGTTGTTGGACTTGTTGGTGCTCCAAGGTGACTTGGAACGAACTCCGCCAACTTCAGCGCCAACTGCTACAGTGGATTACGATCCAATGGGCTAAGGGCTGAAAGTGGAGAAACAGATTTGCAGAGCTCAGCATTTTGGTTGCGGGACATTGTGGGCAGTGGTGAAAAAGAAAAACTAGAAACACTTGTTTGTTGGGCTGGGAAGCGCTTTGCACTCTTTTCTGCTTTACAAGTATTGATTTACCAACAGGTTCTTCCTTTGGCAAACGGCGCTTTGGTGGCAGAGGATGAACCCGGTGCCTGCCAACTAGTTTGTTTCACCGAATTTGATGGTCCCAGGTTGCCCTGGTTGCCTCTGACTCGTCCAATGCATGCATAGCTGATACTTTGTTGTCACTGCGGAATTGCAGTAGCGCTGCGGCCTAATCCTTGGAAGCCAAGCAGCAGTGACCGCTCAGAATGCGCGATTGTGCGAGTCGGGCCACTAGATGGAGAATAGATGCGAGCAGGTTGCATGGAACGTGAAATCAGACCTCATATCTTGCAGAGTGGTTTGAGAAACAGAGAGATTCTCTGGCGTGTGCAGATGTGTGCGGTACATTGCAGTACATCATAACGATGACATTGGCAGCAGTGTTTGCTGGCTATCGGAGGAGGTATGTCACTTTGGCAGTCGCACAGTAACTGTATATTTAGCTTCAGCATTATCAGCATTGCTTCAACAAAACTTTTGAACATCACTAGTGTCACACAGTGATTCCACAAAAGTGTTGTTTCTGGTGGTTGGCCAACAGGAATTTGCAGGTTCTTTAAACACTTAGTCTCTTAGTCCATGTGCAGATCAATTTTGAAACATGACAATCTGTAAACACAGTACTCAAGTTCATTCGCCACCACATGTGCGGAAAGACGGTTGCAGAGTAAATGCCTTTCTTTGAGCCCGATGGAGTACTGCAGGCTGCCCGCAGTTAGAGCCTAGAGCATCCTAAAAGATCGCTGTGTTGAGTGTTGCAAGATTTGCCAATTCATCTTAACGCTGGATATGCAGGCGAATGTGGTATGCCTGAGTGTGTTCCTAGTGGGCCCTGGCGTGAAACTCATGGACCACCCGACTCTGAAACGGCATGATAGCAACAAGCAGACGAACTTCTTAGATTGTTGCGGGCTTGCCCCTAGTCAAAGCTTCCTGCTTATCCGCCAAGGTCATGGGAGACAAGGCGACAGCTTTGCAAAAAACCTACCGAGTTCTCATCGAGGCAAGTCGATTTCAGCTGAGCGAAACAGCAGCTCAACGCTTTGCAATCGAATCAACAGATCCTGTTTGCCACTCGCCGCAACTTGCTTTGGGATGCAGTTTTCCCACGTTTTTTTTCAGAAAGTGAGACGTGCTGAGTGCTGGCTCAAGTCTTTCTCTTCTCATGGATATTGACTGCTTTTGACTGTCCCCATGGCAGACAGTTTTGGGTGCGCCTCATAGTACAATGCAGCGGCCAGTGTTTCTGCTCTTCACGGGCACCATCGTGGTTTGCCTGGTTTGTTAATGGAAGTGAAGCAAAGGATGGCGGCACTGGCCCAGTCCTGGCAGTCGATTGCATTCCAGCACCTTGATCCTAGGCATTCTTTATGAAAAGCTTTCCTTGGGGCTTGGCCGGGATGGTGACCCTTGGCAGCTCTAGTTGCTTGCCGATTCAATCGAATGCATTTGTTTGCACTCCAAGAAACCAGCACTGGTGCATTTGTGTCGGTCAACTGTCCAAACTGAAGCTTGCTGGTTTGTTAGAACGTAAGGCCAGGCCGCACCTTGCAAGCTTGCTCTAATACCCCACTCAAGATATTGTCATGGAACGTGGCCGGCTTGAGGCGGAAGTTCTTTTAGAAGCATTTTCAAACATACATACAGTACCGTACGTACATACAGTACCGTACGTACATACGTACGCACGTACGTACATACAGTTACATACATACAGCTCAAGGGAGCAGCCCGGGAAGACTCCCTAGTGCGGAACCCCGTGCGCTACTGCTGCACGTAAGCGTAACTGTATCCGTCGCCGTATGTCTAATTGTATCCCTTTCCTTTGCCGTCATTCATGCATCCCGTTTCCCTTTTTCCTTTGTTTCCTTTTCTCATTACTCTGTGTCCTTTGTATGTTGCTCCAATGTCCATGGGTGCTGGACCGTGGTTGTATTGCTGCTGCTGTTGCATGCGTGCAAGTGAGGCTGCTGCACGGTGCTTCTGTGTGTTGATTTGCCCTGCTCTGAGCTGTAAGGATTGCTGTAGGGCTCCTTTTGTCTCATTGACCACAATTTCAACTTTGATGTTGCCCGGGGTGGGATGAGTGTGCTGCTTTCCCTCTCATACCTTGCTACCTCGAATTCCCATGACGTGAATGTATCCTCGAAATTCTGTGGTTTGAGCAGCTTTGTGAGGTACCCGACTGATCGCGCGCCAGTGGGCACGACGAAGCGGAGGTTTAGCTGTCGCCGTGTTTCCAGGCCAACGCCACGCAGACCGTTTTGTTTGCAAAGTGTACTTGTTGGTCCTTGACAAATGCACACGAGGATGTAGCGCATGTCCCTGCTGAGTTGTACCGATTTGCGTTTCTGGGTGTCCGCGTTTGTACCTACCATGAGGAGTTGGTCAGTACGTACCGACTTGCTCTAATGTCTCTGCCATTGGTACGAGAGTGGGGGGCTTCCGAAACCAGTATGGTGCTACGTCTGGAGCTGCCCTACTGTGAATCATGGTTTCGTCTGCTTTGCGTTGCTCCATGCTTGCAATCGCGCTCGTAATGGCGCCGGTGATCAACCCAGTATGGACTGATCAGATCGTATTCTGCGCTGCTTGTGCATATGATTTCGGCGGTGCGGTAAGGCTGCTTTTGCATAAATGCGCTGAACTGTTTGCTGACGCCAGGGGCCTGTATCCCAAGATGGCTTTTGCGTACGTTGTACCAGTGCGCTGTAGGGTCTGGAATTGTTTCTCCTCTTGTGCCCCTTCATAGTTGTACATTGTACACCGGCGTTCTGCAGTCGTATTGAATGTGTCCTGGGCTGCCACACTTGTTGCAGAACGCTACACTCTATTATTCTGTTCTTTGCGATTGTCCTGTTGTCCTTGTTTGCCATAACCTTTCTGCGAGTACCCTTTGCTCAAGCTATTGTGTCCGCATCCTTTTCCTGATTGTTGTCGGAACGGATTGCTGCTGTACTTTCCTTTGCTTTGCTGTGTTGGTAACATCCCGCAGGATCAGGGAGAATTTCCACTGCATTGCAGACACTGCCCGTGATCCTACAACACGCTCTTCTTCACCGCATTTGTCCCCTGCCACGGCCGCGGCGCCTGGAATTTGCAGAATTTGCTCGCTTGGGCCCTACCACTTTCTTTGGCGTATCAGGTCCTTGCTCCTTTGCCACCAGAACGTGGACCGCAGCGAGATCGACCTGGCGCAAGGCTTGCAGGGAGCGCGCCGACGAGTGACAAGATCCAACCGCGGCGTCGTCTCCGTGGCAGCCAAACCCTGGCGTGGAGCGCAGCATGTCACTGGCACAGGAAAGGGATCCGGGACACCCACGCACGCAGTACCTTCCCAAAAGCCCGGGTATGAAGGTGCCCAAAAAGACATATTAAGAAACCTTACTCCAGGCAACGCCCGAGTTCAAGCCTAACAAGAGGCCACCAGTGCTCTTGCGACGGCCTGGGGCCACATGCCTCACTGAGCTTGTCAAGAACAAGCTCTTGGAACTTGGCATTGAACCAGAACAGCCAGCACCGGATCACGGGCCCAAGAAGTGGTGCCGGAGCCACCTATTGCAAGTACCAACTCCAGATCAAGCTTGACCAGGCTACAACGCAAAAATTTTCAACGAGACGAAAGAGCTGCGGGGCGATCAATGAAGGGCAAGACGCATTGAAGCACAAAGCAGAGGCGAAAGGAGGAAGCTTGAACAGAGCTTGACTGGAGGGACAGAAGAGATCTGGCACCGCCGCCTCAAACTGCAGCGCATTGAGGGGGGCCGCGGCAACAGTTTTGACGAGGACAGATCTTCGGACAGAGGGGCGGCCGAGCCACACGCGATCACGCGCACCAACTGTGGCCTAGGGACTGAAATCCGGACCCACTTTTCTGACATTTTTGGACTCCACGACGCTTGGTCATGTCATCGCATGGTGTTGGGGGGGGTGGGGGGTGGGGTGAGGGTCAAATTCCCCGCAGTGGAGCGTGTAACGCATAGTATCCCTGGATTCAACTCACAGTCCAACAAGGTTCACAAGAGCGAGTGAGCGAAGGCGATCGAGCGGCTGTTTTCACACGCACATACCTTGAGCCAAATGTCATGGCATGTCAATGCATTGCGTAAGAGCATATCGCAAGATACTGTAACCAAGTTGAAGCAATAGCGTAAACGGGGGGCCCAAAACAGAAAACATGGGGGGCGCTGTAATTTCGTTGTTTTCACATACGTCTCATGAGCATGAAGGCTCAAGACGTAGCCAAGGTGTGTGCTTTAGTTTTGTTGTTTCGGTTGTCGGGTGTTCCTTGTCCTCCTCGTCTTTGTGTTTTCTTCCTTTGTGGTGCGTCAGCCCTTTTTCTTTAGACCAGTACGTAGACGGCTTAACTCGTGATTGTTCTGACCCTTGAGTTTCTTTTGTTCACGAAACAGGTTTGGGTTCAGATCGTGGCTGGGTAAACTGGGGGCAGGTGTTAGGAACTCGTTTTTCGTTGTTCACACTTTGGTGCTATGTGTGGTTGAGGTTTTCTTTTTCGAAAAACAGAAACTACGTCCTTTTCTGTTGGTGACTGTTGGTGTTGAGTTGGCGTTTGTCGCGTAGTTGTAGCAGCTCCATGTCGGAAGGGTGCGCCGCCGCTGATTTGCTCGACAATGGCATCGATGAAAAAGACTTGCGCTCGGAGCCTGACTGGGGACAGCTAGTTACACAAAAAACAGGCAACTTGAGGTGTCGTGAAAAAGCCGTTTTTTATTTAGGCAAAACGCATGACAAAGCACTGCGTTTACCAATGAATCTGACATGAGAACCTGCAAAAGAGGGTACGGTTTCCAATCCGTACGGTCGTTTGTACCTACCATGAGGAGTTGGTCAGTACGTACCGACTTGCTCTAATGTCTCTGCCATTGGTACGAGAGCGGGGGGCTTCCGGAACCAGTATGGTGCTACGTCTGTAGCTGCTCCAATGTGAATCATGGTTTCGTCTGCTTTGCGTTGCTCCACGCTTGCAATCGCGCTCGTAATGGCGCCGGTGATCAACCGAGTATGGACTGATCAGATCGTATTCTGCGGTGCTTTTGTATATGATTTCGGCGGTGCGCTAAGGCTGCCTGTGCATAAATGCACTGAACTGTTTGCTGACGCCAGGGGCCTGTATCCCAAGATGGCTTTTGCGTACGTTGTACCAGTGCGCTGTAGGGTCTGGAATTGTTTCTCCTCTTGTGCCCCTTCATAGTTGTACATTGTACACCGGCGTTCTGCAGTCGTATTGAATGTGTCCTGGGCTGCCACACTTGTCGCAGAACGCTACACTCTATTATTCTGTTCTTTGCAATTGTCCTGTTACCATAACCTTTCTGCGAGTACCTTTTGCTCAAGCTATTGTGTCCGCATCCTTTTCCTGATTGTTGTCGGAACGGATTGCTGCTGTACTTTCCTTTGCTTTGCTGTGTTGGTAACATCCCGCAGGATCAGGGAGAATTTCCACTGCGTTGCAGACACTGCCCGTGATCCTGCAACACGCTCTTCTTCACCGCATTTGTCCCCTGCCACGGCCCCGGCGCCTGGAATTTGCTGAATTTGCTCGCTTGGGCCCTGCCACTTTCTTTGGCGTATCAGGTCCTTGCTCCTTTGCCACCAGAACGTGGACCGCAACGAGATCGACCTGGCGCAAGGCTTGCAGGGAGCGCGCCGACGAGTGACAAGATCCAACCGCGGCGTCGTCTCCGTGGCAGCCAAACCCTGGCGTGGAGCGCAGCATGTCACTGGCACAGGAAAGGGATCCGGGACACCCACGCACGCAGTACCTTCCCAAAAGCCCGGGTATGAAGGTGCCCAAAAAGACATATTAAGAAGCCTTACTCCAGGCAACGCCCGAGTTCAAGCCTAACAAGAGGCTACCAGTGCTCTTGCGACGGCCTGGGGCCACATGCCTCACTGTTCTTGTCAAGAACAAGCTCTTGGAACTTGGCATTGAACCAGAACAGCCAGCACCGGATCACGGGCCCAAGAAGTGGTGCCGGAGCCACCTATTGCAAGTACCAACTCCAGATCAAGCTTGACCAGGCTACAACGCAAAAATTTTCAACGAGACGAAAGAGCTGCAGGGCGATCAATGAAGGGAGAGATGCACTGAAGCACAAAGCAGAGGCGAAAGGAGGAAGCTTGAACAGAGCTTGACTGGAGGGACAGAAGAGATCTGGCACCGCCGCCTCAAACTGCAGCGCATTGAGGGGGGCCGCGGCAACAGTTTTGACGAGGACAGATCTTCGGACAGAGGGGCGGCCGAGCCACGCGCGATCACGCGCACCAACTGTGGCGCTCACTGCCGGTGGAAGCGTGGGCATTTCGTGTTCTGTCATTGGGATCATGAGTTTGCAGCAGAACGGCTGATTGAGTAAAAAATCTTATGCGCGCATACATACATGCGTACATACATACATACATACATACACACATACACATACACATACACATACACATATACATATACATATACATATACATATACATATACATACATACATACACACATACATACATACATACATAGAGATACATACACATGTACAGTTAGTCTGATTCTGCTGATTTCTGTTGCCAAGTCTTTTGCTTTGTTGTCAGGGCAATGCTCACAAGAGATGAAGGGGCGGAGCTGACTGCAGTCCTTTTGAGTGAGCAGCCCGACATCACATTTATTCAGGACCCCCAGTGACATGGGAATCATCGCGCTACAACCTCATGGGTCACTGTGCCTTTGAACATTTCCTACTGCTCGGTGCTTTTTGCTTCCTTGACCAAAGAATGGGCTAACCCCAGCGTGAGAAAGTGAGTGAGTGAGTGTGTGAGTGTGTGTCGCAGCCCTGATCAAAGGGTCCAGTCGCAGTTTGTGTTGCATTTTAGCAATCTTGGAGTTGCCGCGCAACAAAAACATTCTTTGTGATATCTGACGAGAACGTTCTCTGGACGCGCTTGCAGCTTGGTTGTGAAGTTTGCGCCCCAGTAAAGTGTCAACCTGGATTTGGAGCGCCCTTCTTTCTCCAGCTCAATTAGTGGAAACCTTTGCCAGTTTCATTCCATACGTATACCGTATGCCTGCTTAATAAATGAGCCAGGCCGCATGACACTTGGTTTCTTCGGATGCAGAACGCTCTGGAACGTTGCACCTTCCGACCTTCCGAGCAAAATGACTGACGCAACAACGTGAGTTCCGGATTGGCTTTGGTGGCGCGAAACGAAGCAGACGACACCTGTTGCAGTTGGTGCACGTAGCGCAAGACATGCTGCGTGGAGACGGGCAATTGCGGGTCGCCGGGTCGCGGGTGTTTGGAGAAACGGGGCATGTGGGGATCAATTCCACTGTAGAGGGCCTGGAGAGCACGCTGACGGAGCTGACCTTGGTGGTGCACATTGCACCTTTAAAGATTCCCACCCGATGCGCCATTGTGCATTTCGTTCGACTCAGCGCAGAGATTCAGAACGCTGATAGAGGGTGTGCCATTGTGTTTGAATTATGTTTCTGCGTTGAAGATATTCTCAGAACCATCGATGTTGGAAGAAGGCGCCTGTCTCAAAAACACCAAAAAAAAATAACTTAAATATGGTTTACGCGCGGGTGTGCTCACGAGATTTGTTGTTTTGATGACTACGAAGGGTTGTTTGCGTAAAGAGCGTGCCCATGAACGGTATGACTTTTCTGATTGGGGTGTTTTTCTTGAATGAGCACGCTCACGGGCGAAGGGTGTCTCTTTACACCGACGGGTGACTTAGCGCAGCCGCCCAGAATTTCTTGGTTTCTATGATTTGTTGATCCCCTGGTGGTATATGCTAGAAAAGCATCAACACAGGATTATTCCATCTAATCCGGCGTGCAAACATTTCTTGACACACACCACAATGGTTCCGAGCATCAGTTCTGAAGTGGACCTACCCTTTGCTTAGTAGATCTTTCTGCTCCCAAGTTAAGGCGCAAAGCCTTCGAAGCAGAACTACTACATCTAATTTCAACGCAGCAGCATGTAAGAAACACCGGCGGCCTAACGTCACTTCTTAACCCCGTGGAACTTGGAACGTAGTGCAGCCACCCATTTCAGGATAAAGAAACCCAAACAGAGTCAAAGCAGCGGCGCCTAACATCACAGCGCAAGTCACATATTTGTGTAATAATGTTGGACGCTGATTAGTAATAGGGCCCTCTATAATGCTAAACTGCTGAAAAATAGTTATTGACACCATGTTTGTTTTAAGGGTTATTTATTATGCTAAACTCTTTGCTGGCTTGCTGAGAGTATTATTGGGAATCATAGGTTTCTTTGGTTCTTCAACACTCACAGCTTCCCAAAGCCTTCAATTCCTTAATCAAACCTTTATTAAAAGATTACTCCTAAACAAATTTTCGGGGTAGTAGACCAGGAAGGTCCCTGATCCTCAATAATAAAGTTGCTTTAAGGGATCCTCAACAATAAAGTTGCTTTAAGGGTGTTCAATCGTGCAAAGTTGTTTAGAAACATATATCCTAAAACTTAATACTACTAAGCCAATGGCTGGCTTGGTGAGAGTATTCTTAGTAATCATAGGTTTTCTTTAGTTCGTCAACACTCACAGCTTCCCAAAGCCATCAATTCCTTAATCAATCCTTTATGTAAAGATTGCTTCTAAAGATTTGTTTCCAAGGAAGTAGTCTTCAAGATTTGCTGAAGATCTGAGGCTGCAGAGGAAAAGGGCTGCTGAGAATATCGAATTACAAAGCGCTTGAAAAAGCAAAATGAATCCCACAATCAATTACAAAAGGAATCCTCCCAGGAATCCAGATTTGTTTTGGTGGCTGTTTATCATAGAGGCCTTCCCATTTGCTTAGGTGGAGGGGGGGCCTTTACTGATCAAGATCCAACGTTAGTGGCTCTTTGCCTCTTAGGATTTCTATAGGGATTGCCACGCTTTTGAACCATGGGCAGGAACACAAGCTGCAAGACACGCACGTGTCAAAGGCCGAGCCCAACCTCTTGCGGATGTTTACCAGAATATGCGGTGGTGAACACTGCGCCTTGGGCAGCGCAATATTTACAACGTTCAATCTCAATCTAATCTAGTCTTGTTCAGAAAATGTCTGGCAAGGAGTTCGATGCAGACAGATATGGACAATAATTAAACTTTGATAATTGCTCGGAGCTTGCGTGGAGCTAGCAATGCGTTGTTGATATAGCTGCCAAAATGGCCATACCATTTTGGCTCAAGCTTGGCGTTTGTGAGACAGGGTGGTTCAAAAAGCGTCAGTGACTTTCCCGGGACTGTCACGCCGAAGGAAGCCGGCCGACCTGAAGCCCCTTTGTTCGACGTCATCACCCAAACCGGCAAGAATCCCCTCAAGGTCCATGGAACACGCCCCAGGCTGGTGCGAGGTCTCGGCCTCTCTGCACAACAATTGAGCTGACGGCACTGCGGGGAGTTCCAGAGCTGGTCGGGCCAGCGGCCCATCCTCCGCCTCAGGAGGCCCTCAGGTCAAGGGGAACGCGTGCTTCTTGAAGCAATGTTGGCGCTTGCAAGGTGCGCCCAGTGGGATCGTTGGCGTAGTCGACGTTTGGGCCTTTTCGCGTTTTGGCTCGAGAGTGCGACCCCCTGCCTGCCTTCTGGGAGAAAGAAGAATTTTGCTTTCTGCTGCAGGAAGCCAGCTTTCATTCCATGCCATTTTCAATGCTATTCAAGGACACAATCGATACATGACAGTATGCTTGGTTTCTTCACAAATCAAGAGCTCGAGCAAGTCAGGTGGCCAGTTTTGAATTGCTCCGCCAAGTTTCCACACGCTGGCAAGAAATTGTTAAAGCGTGCCACAGCATGACGACCCCTTTTCAACCAGTTTGCACACAAAGAGGTTGGATCCACAAAGGGGTCGTGACATGGCACCAACAACCATGCAGTTTGCAGCCGTGGGAGGCGCCCGACAGGCTGACGGGAAAAAAAACGAACCGCTCGCGGACCTAGCTTTTTGCGGGCGGAGTTCGCGCGATGGCTTTTGCCGAGGTGCTGCATGGGCAGTTTCCACCTCTCACAAAGGCGCGTTGCTGAGTTGGATTGGCGGAAGTCAAGTGTGGCAGTTGCCATCGATCGGTTGCGCGGGCTGAGTAGCCACTCGAGATTCGGCCTCGCAAATCCAATTTAGCAAGTCGGTTTTCGGGGTTCGGTCTTCGGGAGTGGCCCCTTGTTTTTGTCCGTATGTTTTAGCAGTAGTAGTAGTAGTAGGAGTAGTAGCAGTAGTAGTAGTCTCAGCAGCAGCAGTAGCAGTGGCAGCAGCAGGAGCAGTCGCTGTAGTTAGCTAGTAGTTAGTAGTTAGTAGTTGGTAGTGGTAGTAGTAGTAGTAGTAGCAGTAGTAGTAGTAGTAGTGTAGTAGTAATAGTAGTAGTCGTAGTAGTAGTAGTAGCAGTAGTGGTAATAGTAGTAGTAGTAGTAGTGGTAGTGGTAGTGGTAGTAGTAGTAGTAGGAGGTAGTAGGTAGTAGTTAGTAGTTAGTTAGTTGTTAGCAGTTAGCAGCTAGTAGTTAGTAGTTAGGTGGTGGTGGTAGTAGTAGTAGTAGCAGTAGTAGTAGGTAGTAGTAGTAGTAGTAATAGTAGTAGTAGTAGTAGGAGTAGTAGGAGTAGTAGTAGTAGTAGTAGTAGTAATAGTAGTAGTAGTAGTAGGAGTAGTAGTAGTAGTAGTAGCTAGGTAGTAGTAGTAGTAGGTAGGTAGTAGTAGTAGTAGCAGTAGTAGTAGTAGGAGTAGTAGTAGTAGGAGTAGTCGTAGTAGTAGTAGTAGTCGTCGTCGTCGTGGTAGTAGTAGTAGTAGTGGTAGTAGTAGTAGTAGTTAGTAGTAGTCAGTAGTAGTCAGTAGTAGTTAGTAGTAGTTAGTAGCAGCTAGTAGTAGTTAGTAGTAGTTAGTAGTAGTCAGTGGTAGATAGGTAGTAGTTAGTAGTAGTTCGTCGTAGTCGTAGTGGAAGTCGTAGTCGTAGGTAGTAGTGGCAGTAGTGGTAGTATTAGCAGTAGTAGTTGTTGTTGTAGTAGTAGTAGTAGCAGCAGCAGCAGGAGTAGGAGTAGGAGTAGTAGTAGTAGTGGTGGTGGTGGTGGTGGTGGTAGTAGTTATAAGTAGTAGTAGTCGTAGTAGGCCTCGTACGAACTGGTGACTTTGTAGTACAACTTTAGCGCGCGGAGTATCTGGGGAGCTGGAAGATGAGAACTGGCGACCTTGTAGTACAACTTTAGTACGCGGAGTATCTGAAGAGCTGAAAGATCAGAACTGGCGACTTTCTAGTGCAACTTTAGTACGCGGAGTATCTGGCGAGCTGGAAGATGAGAACTGGCGACTTTCTAGTACAACTTTAGTACGCGGAGTATCTGGGGAGCTGGAAGATGAGAACTGGCGACTTTCTAGTACAACTTTAGTACGCGGAGCAATCTGTGGTAGTACAACTTTAGTACGCGGAGTATCTGGGGAGTTGGGTGGAAGATGAGAACTGGCGACTTTGTAGTACAACTTTAGTACGCGGAGTATCTCGGGAGCTGGAAGATGAGAACTGGCGACTTTCTAGTGCAACTTTAGTACGCGGGGCAATCTGTGGAGCTGGAAGCTGAGTACTGGCGACTTTGCAGTACAACTTTTAGTACGCGGAGTATCTGGGGAGCTGGAAGCTCAGAACTGGCGACTTTGTAGTACAACTTTAGTACGCGGGGCAATCTGTGGAGCTGGAAGCTGAGAACTGGCGACTTTCTAGTACAACTTTAGGACGCGGAGCAATCTGTGGAGCTGGAAGCTGAGAACTGGCGACTTTCTAGTACAACTTTAGTACGCGGAGTATCTGGCGAGCTGGAAGATGAGAACTGGCGACTTTCTAGTACAACTTTAGTACGCGGAGTATCTGGGGAGCTGGAAGATGAGAACTGGCGACTTTCTAGTACAACTTTAGTCCGCGGAGCAATCTGTGGTAGTACAACTTTAGTACGCGGAGTATCTGGGGAGCTGGAAGATGCGAACTGGCGACTTTGTAGTACAACTTTAGTACGCGGAGTATCTGGGGAGCTGGAAGCTGAGAACTGGCGACTTTCTAGTACAACTTTAGTACGCGGGGCAATCTGTGGAGCTGGAAGCTGAG